CTAAAGTTATATATAATACGTAAATAAATAAAAAATTTCGTCCATGCTGATGTTTGATAGAGATGAAGCAAAAAAGATTAATCTCATGGGGGGGGGGGTATGTTAAAGGGATAGTTCGGTATTTTTGACATGAATCTGTATGGCATCCTGATCACCAGCGGCATGCAATCACACTGACTTACCCCTGGCAGCGTCCTGTGAGCAGAGTTATCGTCCAGTTTTGGTCAAGCCGAAAGTAGTCCTGCAGGTTTTTAGGAACAGCGAAATAAAACTTTTCTCTTCCCAAAACATTATGTGTCCAAAAGAGTGATATTTTCGCATCCCAAAAACATTGTAGTGGAAAAAGTCACACGTCGATAACTCTGCTCACAGGACGCTGCCCGGGGTAAGTCAGTGTGATTGCATGCCGCTGGTGATCGGGATGCCATACAGATTCATGTCAAAAATACCGAACTATCCCTTTAAAGTAGATCTCCCAACTTCCTCTTTTTCTTTAACAAATTAAACTGATTTAGGTTTGAAAATTTTTATCGTGTAGTGATGACATTCTGCTCAGTGCTAAGAAACACTCAAGTTCCGTCATAAAGTGACGTCATATGTCAGTTTTTTTTTTATAATATAGCAGAAGAATGCTCATGCATTTGCCCCTATGCTGTCTTATTAAATATAGTCAGTGTAATATCAAGAACTTCAAAGTTAAGTCTGCAAATCTGGAAGCACTTAAACTCAAGGACTTTGACAATACAATAGAGATCAAATACATCAGAATGATATAAAATCATATTTCTGATAACATTGGTAAAGTGATAAAAGTAAAAAAAAAATCTATTTATTTCAGTTATGTTTTTCAAATACATTTATCTTAAATAAAAGTTGAATTCCAGGCAAATAAATGCTTAATCAAAGCATCAGTGTGCTAAGACATTGTTCATATTATAAATATTCTGTGGAACCTGCTTAATATTTCAAGGTATTTTTTTTATTAGGAGCTGTTCAGTGGAACAGTGGGTAGCACTGCTGCCCTGCAGCAAGAAGGATCTAGGTTTGATTCCTGGCCCGGGGTCTTTCTGCATGGAGTTTGCATTTTCTCCCTGAGCATGCGTGGGTTCTCTCCGGGTACTCCGGCTTCCTCCCACAGTCCAAAAACTTGACTGTTAGGTTAATTGACTTGTCTAAATTCTCCTTAGGTGTGAGTGTGTGCATGAATGGTTGTTTGTCTCTGTGTTGCCCTGTGATGGACTGGCAACCTGTCCAGGGTGTACCCCGCCTCTCGCCCATTGACTGGATTGACAGATTTTTTTATTATATTTGGTTTTCTATCATACAGTAAACCGATCCAGGCCAGTGTAATTTTAATCATAATGTAAAAGTGAGAGCCTATACCTGACAGTAAAGAGGTTATTTACTATTTACACTAATATTATGGTTAAAATGAGGGAAGATGTTTCACACCACAAGTACCTGATAACTGAAAGATCTGCCTCCCCTCCTGCTTTTGCAAACTCAAGGAAACACCAGGAAACCTGCAGTGTGAGAACATAAAGCTCAGGTGTGAAGAAAAAGGGATGTTTGTTATTGTACATAATAAAAAAAGAACAAAATAATAAAAAAAATAATCTTAGTAAATTATTGTTTTCTACACCCGAGCCAACTAGATTATGGGGCTCATTCCAAATCTTAAACAAATCAGCATTTCATCAGCTCAGCTAAATTTAAAAAAAGCATTTATTTTATGGCTATCCCAGACTCCAATTGAATATGCATGCTGGAAATGTTTGTGGCTTTAAGAATCAGACAAATAAAGTATCCACCAAATAATAACAGAAGAAACGGTGCCGATAGCTCAATTTGATCCAACTTTGGCAAGAGCAAACCCTCAAACTGATTTTTTTTCATCAAATTGAGGAGGATACCCTAACCCATTGAAGTCGTGTGCTCTTCTTTTAAACCCTTCACCTTGTTTAAATTACTTTAATTGTTCACTTAAACCATTCTAAAATGCTCCCTTTCTCACACAAAAGAATGAGAAAAATGAAGGACAAGCATAATGAAGCTCTTCTGCTCCTGATAAGCTATTAATTCCCAGAAATCTTTCAGCTGCGTGCAGATAAGATGAAAAGCCTGAAAGAAGGAACACATTGGCCCAATTAGATGGTTCTAATTACTGATGGGGAATCAGGGGCCCGGTCACTCTCCGTTTCAGACTATAGCCGTAGCCCAGAGATCTGCCAGGGACAGTAAAGCAAAGGGCTTTATTTTTGGTCCTACTGTGCCTCTGGGAAACTAGATGATGTCAAACAGCTTGAAGAATGTAGGGGATTTATGAAAAACTTTCAGCTTTGAGTGGCGAGGACAAAGGATATTAGGTGACATATTTTGCTGAAATCTGCAGCTTTTGTTTCCTTTTTTATTGGCTGATCAAAATAATTAGCACCCTTTGCCATTCAAGTATAGTTCCTTAAAGCTGTTTGCTACATTACAGATTTTGTCAATGTTTTATTTTTTCTAATCTAAACAGAAACCTAAACAGTTTACATAATCAGACACACATAATAGAAAATATAGATATAACTTTATTGATCTCACAATGGAGAAATTAACTCTGTGCATTTAACCCATCCAGTTGTTGGCGCAATGGGCTGCCATTGTGCAGTGGCTGGGGAGCAATGTGGGGTTAAGGTCTTGCTCAGAGACCCATAGTGCAGGCTGTGGTGTACTTGCAATCTTCCCAGACCATAAGAACATTGTCCACTAACCACTAAGCCAACAGGAACAAGTGCAATGTGCATTCCTCCAATAATAAGTTCCTTTATTCCTGTGTGTTTCCTGGACGGGGTCTCTTTTTAAAGCTCCCTTTTGTATCTCTGCTTCTGTCGCCTTTAACCCCAGTCGGCCTCTGCAGATGGCCGCTCACACTGATCCTGGTTCTGCTGGAGGTTTCTTCCTGTTAAAAGGGAGGTTTTCCTCTCCACTGTGGCTACAAGTATGCTTAGTGTGAGGGATTGCTTTCAAGTCAATAAGTCGATGCAATTAACTGGTTTTCCTAAGATAGAAAACTTTGAATCAATTTGACTGTATGATCTGCTGAACTTTAAAGTGCCTTGAGATGACATGTGTTCTGAATTAATAAACTGACATATTCCAAATGAGCTAGGTATTGTGTATTAAAAAGAAGAAAAAGTTACTGCCCCATAAACCTAAAAGATGGTGTGCCACCTTCCACCTACCATCCTGGTTTATTTTAGCCTCACTTAAGGGTTTTTAACATGAGTAGCCTGTTCAATGCGGAGAACAAATCGTTCCATTAATATTATAAAGGTCTCAAAGAGGCAGAGTACATAATTACTGTTACCATTAAAGGAATAGTACACCCAAAACATGATTAGCCTTCATTTTCTACTCACCCCCATGCTGAACAACACTCTGGAGTACTTTTTTGATATCTCAAATGCATCTGGAGATCTGGGAGGCTTCTTGCTGTCTGCTGACATTCAAATAATGGAGGTCTATGGTGCCCGAGGCAGAAAGGTCCATAAAAGTCCACAAAATACGTGTCAATATTCCTCCATACTGCTCGTCCAATGTATTCCAAGTGTCCTGAGTGGGTAGCGTCCATAATTTACTCGAAACGAAGTCATTTAGAATGTTTTTTTAGAGCATAAACAGTAGTTTATATGATTTCCTAAAAGCGCGTTCACGAGTCTACGGAAACCGCGGCAGACCAAACCAGACGAAAGTGCGCATTCAGCTCGGCAAAGAACTCATGCTCTTCCTCAACACTGAAGTCCTCAGACATTTTTCTTTCGTTGTTTCTTTCTTTGCACAGGTAAACAGCACATTTCTTCTTCTACGCTAGCATTATCGGCAGAGCAGACGCTGAATGCGCACTTTCATCTCGTGAACGCGCTTTTAGGAAATCCTATACACTACTGTTTATGCTCTCAAAACATTCTAAATGACTTCGAGTAAATTATGGACGCTACCCACTCAGGACACTTGGAATACATTTGACGAGCAGTATGGAGGAATATTGACACGTTTTTTGTGGACTTTTATGGACCTTTCTGCCTCGGGCGCTATGGACCTCCATTATTTGAATGTCAGCAGACAGCAAGAAGCCTCCCAGATCTCCAGATGCATTTGAGATATCAAAAAAGGGTGAGTAGAAAATGAAGGCTAATCATGTTTTGGGTGTACTATTCCTTTAAAGGTGAACCTCAAGTTCATGGAAGATCAGTGTAAGCTCCCACCATCTATGTTATTTGAGCCAAAATGTACCTAATGGGAGACGACCAAGGAGAACACCATTGTTGAAAACAAACAGAAAAAAAAAAAAAACAGACTGGAATTTATCAAACTACATGTTGAAAAGTCACAAATGTCCTACAGATGAGACAAAAATTGAATGTTTATCCAAGGCACATCAGCTTAATGTTCACAGATGGTTATATGAAGCATATCAAGAAAAGAAGAAAGTGCCTACTGTAAAACACGGAGCAGGCTGTTATATTTTGCCTATTTGGCAATCTTAAGAACATCAGAGGATCCTAGAGAGAAATGTGCTGCCCAAACTGCCCGTGTCAGAAAGCTTGGTCTTAGTAACAGTAATGGGGTCTTAAAACAGACCCAAAACACAAAGCTAAAGACGCCCAAGAATGGCTAAGAGGAAAACATACACAAATGTACCGTTCAACATCAAAAAGATGACTGTTATCCAAATAAAATGAAACTCCTGTAGTCTTACTATCTACATTATCGCTGTCATTATTTTAGATGATAAAAGCTTTTTATTTTAAATGCAAGATGTTTTTAACATCCTTTGTACAGTTTTGGCTTAAATAGAACAACAGTGGGGGTTGTTATTTCAGCAAATTACATGTATTTAAGTCTGTACACTCCATTTAAACTGACTATTATGATCTCTTATCCTGATCCTTACCCATGCGAGTACCCAAATAAAACTTATTTTTGTGTGTATATCTTTTCCTCCTTCCTCGTAGATGGATACACTACAGATGACATCGAGTTTTACTGGCAGGGTGGAAGCAATGCTGGATCAGTCACTGGTGTGGAGAACATTGAGCTTCCTCAGTTCTCCATAATCGACTACCAAACTCTCTCTAAAAAAGCCGTGTTTGCCACAGGTAACAACAAAACTTGTTAAATAAACAATATTAGATACAATCTGTAGACAGTATTTTGTTTTAATTCTGGTAAATATTGATTATTTAATGAGTCTGTACTGACCAAGAATGGAAACAGTAATCAAATATTGTGCAGAAACAGAATCATAGCAGACTATGTTGTTTCCTTATTTTTCTTTTATCACTAATTTGTTCACAAGTTTTCTACCATTTTCTTGACCAAACAGGTTCGTATCCACGTCTGTCACTGAGTTTTAAACTCAAAAGGAATATTGGCTATTTCATCCTGCAGACCTACATGCCATCCATCCTGATTACCATCCTGTCCTGGGTCTCCTTCTGGATCAACTATGATGCCTCCGCTGCAAGAGTGGCATTAGGTCAGTGATCATCAGTGCCTAATTTTAAATGTATTAGATTCATCAAATGCATCTATAGTGGAAAATTATACAGAAGAGACCAGTTTTACCTAGTTACTGTCTCCATCAATTTTTTACCTCAAGAAGCATAAACATTCCCCCTTTCTTCCCACAACTTTCTCCTGTTTAACAGACTGATGGGGAAGTATTGGGTTGAATTATTCAGTCTTTTCTAGTTTTCCAAAATAGTTAAATTTTTTTTTTAAACAGTATTCACTTACATATATTTCTGTGTGCTCTTCTATTGTTTAGCCTTTTATATACCACTGCTTGCATATATTATTTCTAAAAAAAATTTTTCGCTTATTGCGCTTTTAGTTTCTCATTCTTTACGAAACATTAAGTATTTCTCTGTTTGTGCCTTAAATTATGTTTGATATCACTTTTTAAGGGTTCATTGCATATTTCCTTGCATACTTGTTAAAAAATTGTTGTTTAGCAGAGGCAGATTAAATTATGACGTGGAGAAAGCCACCTTTTATTTCCTTATCTCAAATTGAATCAGTTTCTAAAAAGACAGTTTCACACTTATCTGTTTTTTGCAAATAAACCATTTTATAGCCATGTTTAATTAGACATAATTTATTAAGGATTTTATATAAATTTATATAAACCAGGACCTTGTTTCTTCTGTTTTAGGTAATTAACACTCAATGACTAGTTATAGTTTACTTCAAAGCGCATTAAGATTTAGAAGAGGTAATAATAATAATATATATGCATAAAACTTAAATTGTCTAATTTTACTATTTTTTGTTTTTTTACATTGTCAATTGATAAATTATTTTGTTTTGGAGACTATAAGACACCCCCAATTGAGCAGGAAGATGTTTTTAACGGATCAAAAAGTATTGTAGACACAAGAAGAAAGCTGTTCTGGTTGACCTTTGGCAGGTTGTTAGAAAAAGAGTGATGGATTAAAATGAATATATTTATAATAATTCTGAGTATCTTCTGTTTCCCCCTAAAAAAAATCTGCAGGTATAACGACTGTTCTGACCATGACCACCATCAACACCCATCTGAGGGAGACACTGCCAAAGATCCCCTACGTCAAAGCCATTGATATTTACCTCATGGGTTGCTTCGTGTTTGTTTTCCTGGCCTTGCTGGAGTATGCATTTGTTAACTATATTTTCTTCGGCCGTGGTCCTCACCTACAAAAGAAAGCAGCAGAAAAGGCTGCTAAGTCCAACAATGAGAATAAGGGCCGTTTGGAGAGCAATAAAGTGCAGGTGGGTGAAGAAAGTAAAAATACAGATATTTAAGGCACTAAATAAGCATGAGGAATTATTTTCTTCACTGACACAGATATGATGATATGAATATTTCATTGACCAAATGTGTACAAAAAAGTCTTATTATTTTTAAGTTGATCTTAGTTTTAATGCTAAAATGTTGGTTTTGCATAATCGATACAGTTCAGTTTAGAAAAACTTGCACAAAAAGGTGCTGGGTGCTCAAGGTTAATTAGGAGTCATTAAATACTTTAATTATTATGTACCTTTGTAGATTGAATTTGAATTGGAGCTGTCTGCATCAGGACGTTTCACACCAACCCTGTATCATTTCATACATATAAAGTGGATGTTTTAGACAGCTTTGACAGCTGAGCATTTAATTAATTATTTATTCACTCTGCTTGTATTTTAATTGGAGAAAACCTAATTTTATGAATCCAATGAATTATACCAATCAGCAGAAAACCACTCAGCTGTTTTAATCCGATTGGCAATGATATTTAATTTCAGAATCATGAATAAATGGAATTAGGGTAGAATGCTAAGTTTGCAGAAGTTATTATGAAATATATTATTAATGGCGTGTAAGCAGTTGTATGACTGTTGGTCTCCAAATGTGATTTTATTTTCTACAAGCAAATTAAACTGAAACTAGAAACAAAACATTTTTTTGTACGTATGAATTAAAAATATATAGGATATAAAGGCAATGGTATTTAACGGGTACAATATCGAAGAATAGAATAATGAAATGAAGAGTTGACTTAAAGCTTTGCTTAGTTAAAACCATGGAAACATGCACCCTCCCCAAATTGAAGGAAAGAAATAGAGGCTGCACAGCTTTTGAATAATGGTATAACATCATTTAAATGAAAGTGGTAAACAAACAAAGGATAAGACTGAAATCTCTGCTCCTTTGAAGGTTGATGCTCATGGCAACATCCTCCTGACGAATCTCCCAACTGAAATGGGGGGGGCAGACATGATGGGGGCCCTCAACGATCCTCGGGCTACCATGTTCTCCTACGACAGCGCCAGCATACAATACCGCAAGCCAATGACAAGTCGCGACCTGTATGGCCGACCGGCCCTAGACCGGCCAATTGGACACAAGAAGAGCCGCCTGCGGAGGAGGGCCTCCCAACTCAAAGTCAAGATCCCAGACCTCACGGACGTCAACGCCATAGACAAGTGGTCTCGAGTCATCTTCCCAATCACATTCACCTTCTTTAATCTGGTCTACTGGCTCTATTACGTCCACTAGGATGGCAGTTGTGAGCATGAGTAGTAGAATTACTGCCCATGGTTTGTTTTGTTTTTTTTTGTTTTTTTTTTGTTTATTATTTCCAATGGAAGCTCAATCCTGTACAATGATGCAAGTAGAAAAGCTAAGCCCATTTGTATATAATCCACTTTTTGGAACAAGTAGTTCTGGTCTTTACAGTGTAAATACAATTTAATATATGATATAAGTCAATATATATATATATATAAAGACAGAGATATAATTTATTAAAAAAACCGTTTTGCTTTGTACATACAGTTAGACATAGAGGAAAACAATAGTGCTGAATTAAAGACAGTTAAATTTCGGTATTTACAGGTTAAAACATGCCAAAAACACATTGGTTGATTTTCTTTTTTTTTTACTTTCACTCCCCTTTTGCATGTGAGTGGAAGAAGGTGTTTGTTTGCTTACAATTCGAACCACAAGTTAAGACTGGGCAGAAATAGAAGGCAACTAAAAGAGATTTTACCTGTTCTGGAAACTTGTAAATGGGCTGAACTCCAACTGAATAAGGTTCTGACTACTGAAAAAAAAGATATCATTTATTCCATCCATCCATCCATCCATCCATCCATCCATCCATCCATCCATCCATCCATCCATCGACCTACCAATTCAGCTCTCTTTCTTACTGAATCAAGGTGTTCGAAACTAGGAGGGGATATCTTTATGGGTAGTGGTGACCTAGTGGTTACAGCATTGTGCTTTGGTGCAGGAGGTTCTGAGTTCAACTGCCTCAGATAGCAACTCTGGGTCCCTGAGCAAGACACCTAACCCCACATTGCTGGCAGGGTGCCACACAATGGCAGTCCACTCCATCCCCAAGGGGATGGGTCTAATGCAGAGGGGAATTTCTCCAGTCTGAGACTAAAGTTCAATTAAAGAAAATCTCTTTTACTGATTTCTGTGTCTCCCTCAGAGACTCCTCTTGGGGGGGTGTACAAAGAAAATCCTTAAACCAAGACCTCCTTATCAGAGGCTTGATCCTTACAAACGAGATTTCTTTCTTTTATTCATAACTCACGGGGATAGAAGAGGGTTGAAACTTATTTGGACCAGTAAATCCAGAGCTGAAGTTTACCCTGTTCTTCAAAGCAATAGACTAGAGCAAAAACTTCATCACTACAGCGGTAGTCTGATCTTGTCTGTTGGAAATTGGCAAATTTTTATCTCTAGCTTGGTCTGCCACCCAGTTCCAAACACCCCACGTAGTGAGTCCATTTGAACCCTTTTGATGTTTTTGGCCCTAGGCACTCGTAGAAGTCCTTTTCCAAGCTTCATTAAAGCCTGGCTCCTCTCCTGAGTCCAAGGGGAGGGCACCAGTAGGTCTAAACCCAGGATCAGCATGGTACTCAACCCCCTCTATCACTTTAAAGTGGCAATTATGCCTGAAGGATTTTATTTTTTAACACAACTAAGTGCTAATTGGGAGAACTCCCAGGAACGCTGGAGGGACTGTGTCTCTTAGCTGGCCTGGTGTAGCCTCTGGGTCCCCCCAGAGCAGCTGGAGGAGGTGTGTGTGGATTGGTCTGGGCTTCTCTGCTTAGACTGCTGCCTCTGCGACCCGGCACTAGACAAAGTGAAAGAAAATGGATCAGTGGACAACTAAGTGCAACATAGTTGCAGAACCTTCTTTGTTTTGTGTTGCAGAAAACTGATATTGGCCTAAATTAGTAGATTTACTAAATTTAGACTGTGGCTGAAATGCACATACCAGAGTATGTGCATTTTAGCCACATTCAGCCTCATTTCTGCAGGTTGCAGCCTGGAAGATCACCTCATCAGAAACTGGAGTGACTCATCAATGAGTCATCTGAACAGGGCTGAGCAGAGTTCTAGGAATCAACAATTAAACCATGAATTTAGAGTGCACGCAGATTCAAACTGATCAGCTCAAAATGCTTTTCATATCAGATGTTGAATGTTGGCCTTTCATTACTAGCTACCAGTGAGGTTAGCTGCTAAAGGTGTCATAAGTCAGGTTTATTAAAGACTACAAAAGTAATTTTGCCATCTTTGCTTCTCTTGTTGCTAAACGTATATTTATTTAGATGGTATGTAAACCAAAAATGAAAGATCCTTTCTCCTATTTCAAGACAGAAACCTCTCTTTATAAGCTACTTTTTTGCACACTACTCCAAGTACAAACTAGGCAGTTATTTAATTTTAACTCAATAATATATCATGTTTTTAATCTATGCGAGAAGAAACGGGGTATTTTTAAAATAAAAATCACATTATTTGAGCCCTTATAAAAAATAATTGCTTTTGTTAAAATGTTGTCTTGTAGACTTAATTTAGATACTTGTATTTTATCCTATTGGAAAAAATATTATTTTCCTAAAGGCCTACTGTATATAAATATCACTTTAAAAAAAAAAAAGTACAAACAACAAAATCATCTCTACAATGCCTTTAGGCTCATATAGTGCTCACATCTGAAATAAACTATTTTTTACATTCTTTTTACATCTCCTGACAAAAACGATATAGCACCCAGACAAATTAAATTAGACAGGAATTTTGAAATGATTACTTTGCAAGGTTTGGACACCCAAAGTGTCTGGATAAAAGGTGTGATAAAGATACAGCGCCGTTTCCTGCAGCAGCCTCGTCCAAAACTGTTGGACCTGTTCCTCTCCCATTCCACACATGCTGGATTTTAAAAAAGATGGTAGAGGACATGGTATGACCTCAAGCTGACACAGTAATTTACCCTAATATATAAGACCATTCTCAGTACATACCTCACAGTTAGGGCACCACTCTAAATGCAGCCATTTTTGTTCTGCATCCGTATTTGCTCCTATGCATGACATATGATGACACAAATGTTAAAAAATATATATCCATACAGAAAGCCAATTTCTGGTCAATTTTATTGACCTTTTAGCCTCTTTGATGTCTATTTGCAGGGCTGAAACCAGCTTTAGTCCCTTATCAATACAAAATGTATTTATTTTTTTGTTTTCATGCAAATTACAACATATTGATTTTTGGGTATGAATTTAAACTTAAGGTTAATTGCAAAAGGATGCATGGTAATACAGCTTTTAAAATGTAAATTTTCTTCATGTCTTCATCAATACAAAACATTTAAAATACAGTATATTTATTTGAGCTGTGTTTGCCCAAAAGTATAAGAAAACACATTGAAAAAAGAGGAGACATGTGCCATGTTCCTACATCCTGTTATTAGAAAGTATTTCTAGTTTCCAAGTTTACTGCCTGAAAGAAAAAAAGTGGTCCATGAGGTCTGAGGTTGACAAACATCCCTGAGTTTAATATCCAATGAGGCTGCCACGCTAAAACTCAAAGCTGTCAATGTAAACTATTTATAAGCACGTCTGATGGATTAGCAGCAAGAGAAGCAATGTATAATTTGTCAACATGTTCCTTTAGTGTTCGGTCGTATGAAAGGCAGATATTATCATTGTGTATTTATTGTAGTTTGCACCAGAACAAATGAACAAATCGTTCTTCTCAAACTAGAAGGTATTCAACATGGCTTGGATGTCATTCTCCAATCTGAGATCCAATTTATGAGCCAAATCAAACACACCATCTTGCTGGAGGTGATCCGGGTTGGGTAGAGTGGTTAAATAACATTGTTTTTTTAAATAGCTGCATGTTGGTTTATAGAAACTCGTTTGCTGTGAACTTAGAAGATATAATACAGTCTGATGGGTGATGGACTGAAAGCTCTTTTATGCCCATTCTAATACAAATCAGATGCTGGTAATTTTCATATAATCGACTGACCTCATGGAATCAAATAGTGGGACATGTTGATAAATCCATCCATTGCTTGAGATGCAATCCCTTCTCTGTTACTTTACCTTCTCACTTTGTTCCGTCGGATGGTTTGGTTTCTGCCAGATGCCAGCACTTACGCCTTCTGGTGGCTGTTCCAGAGGGGCTCCTCCAAGTAAAACAATCCTTATCACCATTACTGCTCATCCAAACTAATTTACATCCAAATCACTCCATTCCTCTGGGCAGCTGATCCATTTTCCTGAAAAAATGACCCATTTAGATTCTCTTTTTAAGTTTTATGCATAGGATTTTTCTATTCTAAATAAGATTAAAGGATAGTCTGAACCTCAGCTCAGACTACAGGGCAAGAACGGTTCAAACGTGTTTTTGTTTCATTAAAGTAACGATCCTCTTATGAAAGGCTGCAGATTTCAAGAGGGCTTTAATAACAGAGAAATGAATGAAAATCACAGTGGTGGGCTCTATCCGTATGACTGAACTTTGTGCCTTTATACCAAGAATCTCAACCTTTACAGGGTTTATCCTTCGCATAGTGAGTGAGGAGATCATGTTGAGCTTTTTGTAGAATGAGATGAATTGAAGACAAACTCATTTCTTAGACTCTAATGTATGTTATCATCATCTAAGGGTAGATTGTAGTAAGACATTCCAACATTATGACGACAATCTTTCAAAGAGAAAAAGAAAAGCTGCTCGGCCTTCCAGACAGAACAAAGGAAGCACCTCCAATGGACCTCTATTCTGTGGACGGAAGAGCTAATGGAAGCAGAAAACAACTGGTTTCCCTGCAGGCTGCAGCGATGGACTGAGGATGAAGCTTCAGATCCTGTAAAGTGATGTTCCACATGTCCACTCAAGTGGAACGGCCTGTGTGGATTTCAGCAAACAGACACTGTGCGTGACTGAATGCGTATGGAAAGAGGAGGAGCGCCATGAACAGGAATCATTTTTGTCAGCTTAAAGAGAATTAAGAGTTCAAATAAAGCCGCTGAGATCTCTGCATATAAACTGTTTTATGGTTCATTTATTTCTGTTTCACTAAATGCTTCTGCACAAATTTGTTTTTCAGCCAATTTCCAGAAAATATTTTGTCAGCATATGCCCCCAGTCCATGCATCAAATGATTAGATGCATCCTAATAGCTGAGTTAATGAGGCTGCTGAAAGCCTAAATGTGTCCCTGTGCACAGCTGAATGAACAGCTTCGGAGCATTAAGTGATCATTATCTGGAAGATGACATCACAAAATACTTCTAAAGATCTCTATTTCTCATTTTTTTCTAAAAATACCAATACCACAGGTTGCATTGGCTTGATATGTTCTATATGGTAACCACTACCACCACCTACTGTTCACATCTCATAAATAGTTGATTTATCCCAATCCAGGAGGTAGAAGGTATGAGTTATAGTTG